ACTTTTTAACTTTGTTTCTTTATTTTCCTGCTTTGAACCTATGATTCTGTACCCAGGTATCTTTGTACCTACGATGGCACCATAAGGGCGACTTGTAAACTTTTCACTGTACTCATGTGAGTATATGTGACAATAAACCTAATTCTAATTCTAAATCTAATTCTGGTTCTAATTCTAATCAACCAAGTTATTGATTAATTGCCTTCTATCATTGTTAATGATCAGAAAATATTGGCAGTGTAGCCATTTACTCGTAAATGCCTCTGGCAGGGATACTCCAGGCTGGTAGTGTGGATTGAAAAGAGTAGTTTGTGGCTTAGACTTTGCTAAATAAGTTGTCAATATCTTGAGTCAATCTGCTCCTATGATGCTGCTGGGCCTGCTGTGTTCATCCAGCCCTGCACCTTGTTGACTCTTTATTTTATGCTGACTTTTGGTCAAGCCATTCTGAACACCTTTGATCCATAATATTCTGCTGCCTAATTATAATCTCAAATTTCTTTAACCATTTGCATTTGTGATTCAGTCTGAGTCTGATGATGGGACGAAGTCCATTGTATTTATGTTGATAACTTGGACAGCCAAATGTACTAACAGTAATATTGATCGCTGAAATAAACTGAGATTGTTCCAGTCATCAATTATTATGATGGAATTCAGTTTGAAGTGTCAATTTACCACTATCACTTGTGCAAAGCAAAGATTTGTAGCATTGCAATGTTTTGAGGGATATCCATCATATCCATTCCTCCCCCATTTTGTTCTTTTAAATGTTATTTTTGTCTGCTCATAAATCTTGTTACATTGTGGAACGATATGGACGTTAGTGCTTCAGAGCACAAAATTCTTGCTGTGAGTTAATGTGTTTGTTGGCTGGGGAACATCATTGATGTGACAGAATTAACACAAATAAATTATTATTTTTTTTGAAATCCCAGCATGAACCCCGAGAGTGCCAAAATGAAGATGATAATGACCTTTACAGCAGTGTTGACAATACATGCTCTCTGATAGCTGTCACTCCTACGTGCTTCAGATACTTATCTGAAGTTTCACAGTGGCTCAGCTGGCTGCACTCTAACGTGGTTCAACCCTCACTCCATGACTGGAGACCATAGTGTAGTCTGATGCTTCTAGCAGAGATTCAGAGGGTATTAAATTGTTCAAGCTGTCATGTATCCGATGAGATTTTAAACTGATGTCCCAACAGTTCAGCTGGATGTAAAATATCCCATTGGCACTATTTATGCAAAGCAGGACTTGTCCCATGGCACTTCTCCCTCGAGTAACCCAACCTAAAACAGATTAAAAAGGGCTTGCATTTATAGAGTGCTCATCACAACCCCAAGATGCCGCATGTGTAGAGAGAAGGGTTCATTCTCAAATGCATAAGTTGTCAACCACATCAGTAGTGATGTAAAAATCACAGGACATCAGACTCTGGAGAGAATAAATTCCGTGTGGAGTCTCATGCTAAGCTTAATAGTGCAGATATTTAGCAGAATGTTATTTTTAAAAGATATCTTACCAACAACTTAAACTCTAGTTGTCTCCATAGATCCTAGAAAGGACGGAAGTTATTCTAAGACCCATCACCATGGAAACAGACCTTGCAGATTTTGCACTGTTGTCAAGTAGTCACTGTTGTAATGTAGAAATGAAGCAGTAAATTTGTGCAAAGCAAGATTCCACCAAAAGCAATGGATAATCCTTTTTCTTTAGTGGCTTAGGTAAGGGAATATTATTTGCAGATTTGGTGAGATACGTCTTACCTTCTTCAATATAATACCATTGAATTTTCCAACATCTCAATTTTCAGACTAGATGTGAACCTGATATCGCTGACAACACTGCACTCCATGAGATTATCATGCAATGTGTTTGTGCCGTACAGAACTATTCAGTTCAAAAATTAGTTGCTCATTTGTCTAGATAACTGAAAATACACCTCAAAATATAATCCATCAACGTAAAATTATCAAAATGAGAGGACTTATGACTCAGGAGACTATTCAGTCCATCAAGTCCATGCATGTCATTGAAGAAATACCTAGCTTAATCCCAACTTCCTGCATTTAGTCCATACTCCTGCAGTTTATAACACTTCAGTTAAATGGTGCAAAAGCCTATCACTACAGCCCTCTAGTGAGCAGGAGTGAGCCATTTGGCCCTTTGATTCTGCTGTATCATTTAAGATGATCATGGTTAATCATCCAACTCAGTACCTTGTTCCTGTTTTCTCCCTATACCCTTTGATCCCTTCAACCGTAAGAATTTATATGTAATTCCTCCTTGAAAACATTTGATGTTTTGGTTTAACCAAGGTGCTGTACATTTGCAGCGAGATGCCATGGGTTTTAGGATAACAACATCAGCCTTATTTCTAGAATCATGCAGTAAATTTCTTATGAACCCACTACAAAGCCTTCTCGTCTTTCTGGTGCCCTGGGGCTGGATTGCATACTCCTGCTCCTAGTTCTTACATTCTGGTGTAAACCTGCAGAGATTTGATGGAGGCACATAAAATTATGGAAGGTTTAAGTAGAAAGAATTAAAAATGTTTCTGCTGGCTGATTGATTGATATCACATGACTCAGATTTAAACTAATTTAAGTTGATTGGCAAAAGAACCAGAAGTGACACAAGGAAAAGTGTTTAAACAAACAATAATTAGGATTTGGAACATATTCCTTCCCTGATGCTCCGGTAGATCACATTCAAGTAGGTGTTCAAAAAGCAAGAGGATAAATACTTGGAGAAAGAAAAAAAGAGATAGAATGAGTTGTGTTGGGGTGGGGTGGCACTGGTAGGATTGGCTTGATTTTCCTTCAAAAGCACTGTTGCCAAATTCCATGGGCTGAATGGCCTCCTTTTGTGCTGCATTAGTTAATTCTATTGGATGCAAGTATACCATGAAGGCATTTGACAAAAGCAGTCGAGTGTCAAAGCGGGTAGACTGTGACTGAGATAAAAGTAGAAGCAGTACCAGTACCCATAATTTCTTTCCCTGGTCCTGAGTACAGATGCAGCTGAGATGTTGTTGCCCTCTGAAAGAGACAAAGAATACCTAATGATAAACTGTATAGTGTGGACTGAAAATTCACGGGTCTGATTTGAAAGATGCAAATTTCACTGGATCAGTATTCTACAGTTTCTATTATGCTGTATTGTACAATTTAAACATGGAAATTTGTCAATAACAATCAATGCCTTTGTGCATACCTTATGAATGCAGCAGACTGATGGTTCCTATTGGCTATGGTGATGCTTGTGTGGTGAGATAAGTGAAAGTGCCACTCCTACTGTGTACCTGTGCTTTCTTCCAGGTGAATATGCATTGGTTCATTGGCTACAATACTGTTTACTTGAGGATGAAAAGAGAATGTGTCCCGTCTGAGAAGGGTTTTCAGTACAATTGCAAAACACGGGAACAACAGCACGTGTGTAAGAACATTAATGTAATGTCATGATAGGCTTGCTGTGTATTGTGTAGTTGTTATGTAGCACATATTCATGCTGAGATCATTTTGATCAGTTTAGAACAGTTAATAGTTCTTCAATATAAGTATTTAACAGGTATGAGCGAATTTGCTATTATAGATGAATGATAGCATGTATGACAAGGGACAGAATTTATGTCACTTATTTGCTAATTCTAATGTCTCAACAAGATCAAAGAGGAATTATTACAGTAAAATCTTAACTTTTCTTGCTGGACAGACTGCTCTTTGTTCAGTGTTTTGCCATTATTAGTGTGAATTGAGAAAATTTCCTTCATTTCCTTCTGTTCTGTAGTAGACTACTAGATGACTAGACTACTAGTAGACTGCCTTTCATCTCATGGTGCTAGCAATAACTCCCCAAGATTACTTCAACAGCACTCTATCAATTAGAAGGACAAGGATAGCAGATACATGGGTTTGCTCCCACCAGCAAATTCCCCTCCAAGCTTCATACTGACCTGACATGGAAATACATCACCATGCCTTCACTGTCACCAGGTCAAAATCTTGGAAGTGCCTCCCTAATTGCACTGTATGTATATCTATGCTCCGTGTTCAATAAACCCCAGGGCCTGATAATCTACATCCCAGAGTATTTAAAAATAGCCCTAGAAATAGCGGATGTACGTTGGTCATCTTTCAAGATTCTATAGACTCTGGAACTGCTCCTATGGATTAGAAGATAGCTAATGTAACACCATTTAAAAAGGGAGGTAGAGAGAAAACAAGAAATTATAAAGCAGTTAGCTTGACATTGGTAGTGTGGAAAATACTCGAGTCCATTATAAAAGATTTAATAGCAGATTACTTTGTAAACAGTGATGGGATCAGATAGAGTCAGTATGGATTTACAAAAGGGAAATCATGCTTGACAAATCAGCTGGCATATTTTGAGAATGGAATGAGTAGAATTGATAAGGGAAAACCAGTTGATGTAATTTACTTGGATTTTCAGAAGGCTTTTGGTAAGGTACCATTAGAAGAGTTTAGCATGTAAAACAATTAAAACGCATAGGATTAGGTGCAGCCCACTGACATAGATGGAGAACTGGTTCATAGACAGCAAACAAAGAGTATGAATAAATGTGTCTTTTCTCTCTCAGTGGCAGACAATGACTGCTGGGATCCTGCAAGGATCAGTGCTTGAACCACAGCTACTCACAATGTATATTAATGATTTAAATGAGAGACCCAGATGCAGTATCTTAAAGTTTGTGGACAACACAAAGCTGTGTGGGAGAGTAAGTATGAGGAGGATGCTGAAACACTTCAGTGTGATTTGGACATGTTGTGTGAGTGGGAAATACATGGCACATGAAGGATAATGTGAACAAATGTGAGGTTATCCATGTGTAGCAAAAATAAGAAGGCAGATTATCTGAACAGTGATAGGTTGGGAAACAGGGAGGTGTAATGAGACCTGAGAATTCTTGTATACCAGTTGCTGAAAGTAAGCATGCAGGTGCAGCAGGCAATGAAGAAGACAAAAAGTATATTGGCCTTCATTGTGAGTGGATTTAAGCAGAGGAGCACAGATGTCTACCTGCAATTGCACAGGGCCTTTGTGACACCACATCTGTTGTGTTGAATACCATTTTGGTCTCCATATCTGAGAAAGGATGTTCTGGCTATGGAGGAAGTGCAACAAAAATTTACCGGACTGAATCCTGGAATGGCAGGAAGCATGTATGAAGAGAGACTGAATCAGTTAGGACTATATTCAGTGGAGTTAAAATAACAAAAACCTATAAAGCTCATATAAACCTGTAAAGCTCCACCAAGAATAGACAGGGCAAACACAGGAAGGATGTTCCCAATGATCAGAACAAGTGGTCACAGTTTAAGAAAAGAGGGTAGGCCATTTAGGATTGAGATCAGGAGAAATTGCTTTACCTAGAAAGTGATGAACCTGTGGAATTCTCTACCACAGAAAGTGATTGAGGGAAATACATTGAATGTTTTCCAAAAGGCGTTAGATATAATTCTTAGGGCTAAAGGGATCAGAAAGTATGTGGTGAAAGGAGGTTCAAGCACAGAGTTAGATGATCAACAATGATCATATTAAATGGTAGAACAGGCTTGAAGAGCCAAGTGGCCTACTGCTGCTCCTATTTTCTGTGTTTCCCTGTTTAATGTATATTTAAGACAATTTAGAAAGATCTTAACATAAACAATAAAAACAAAGATTTAATTTTTTTTTCCATTGTATCATTTACAGATCCTCAAATCCTGCAAAGTACCAGTCGTATCCTAACATTAAGATTTTTTACCAACTAACTTTCCCTGGTTTTGATGGCCAGCTTCTTTCCAGCTCTGAAGCCTGGACTCCTTTTCAATTTTCTAAACCTGGAAGCTTCTATGAAATTCTCACAAGCTGGAGATTTCTTCCAGATAAAAACTCACGGTCTGGTGATTTCTACAAACAAACCTGCTGTTCTGCTGATATGAAATGGTTTTTCAAAACTGAAACCTGATTCTGGCCTATGACCCTCAGTTTCTGTTTATGTCATAAAACTCAATATTTTAAACATTCAGCAATCGACCGCCCTGGTATCTGATAGAGGAATTTAACTTAAATTTCATGCATTCTGGGAAATGATTTATTTAATTCCCATTCCAAAGTATTGTCTAAACTCTTATTAATAAAAAAAGTTACTTTCACAAAACTGAAATCAAAATTTCTTTGAGCTGTACTTTTACAATCAAATTCCTAAATTATAGACATGCGTGACATATTGTATAATTTAAATGAACTGCATTAAATAATCCATTTGAGGACCCAGATAATATATGCAAAAATCTGTTATCATGTAAAACAAAAAGTCATGTTAGTTCGTAAATCTCTTCAGTGAAGTCACATATGTGATTTTATGTTGTATCATATACTTATGTAAATATAAGAGTCCCGCAGAAAGTCAGTTACGTGGAGAGACTAGAGTAGCTGGGATTGTCATCCGTAGGGGAGGGAAGAAAAAGGGAAGATTAAATAAATGTGTTCAGAATTATGAATGATATTTATGGAGTAAACAAGGTGAAACAGTTTTCAGTGGCAGCAGGATCTATAACCACAGGATACATATCTAGGATAAATAATAAATGATCGAAAGTTGAGTTTCTTTTTCACACAGTGAGTTCTTACGGTGTGCTGTCTGAGAGAGTGATGGAAACACATTTAATAGTAATTCCCAAAAATATTTCAAGATGAAAAATATGCAGGGCCAAGGGGAAAAATGAAGGAGTAGAATTAATTTAATAGTTTTTTTCAAAGAGTTTGCATGGGCATGATGGGTTTCATGGCCTCCTCTACACTATGATTCTAATATAATTGCACTACAATATATTTGAAATACAGTTGGAGTCACACCTGTTGATCCATTCCATAAGTATTCTGGCTGCCACATTGTCTACAGTTATTTCAACTTTCACATGCCTGCTTTTTTTTTCAATTAATTGATTGGATGTTGACATTGCTGGCTGGGCCAGCATTTACTGCCCATCCCCTAATGGTCCAGAAAACATTTAAGAACCAATGCCATTGTTGTGATTCTGGAGATACATTTAGGCCAGACTAGGCAGGGATGGCAGTTTTCTTCCCTAAAGGACATTACTGAACCCGATGGATTTTTACAACATTTAATAACTGTTTTGTGGCCATCATTAAACTTTATTGTTTTTTGAAGTCATATTGTACCATCTGCCTTGGTGGGATTTGAAACCAGGACCCAAGGGCATTCACCTAGGTCACTGCATTAATAGCCTGCTTATTGTGCCACTAGTTATTACCATTTGGTAAGCCTCCCTCTTGCTTGCATTCCAGTCGGTAAAAGATCTGTGCAAATCCCACATCATTAGCTGAACAACCTCGAAATTTCTGCGCAGTCTTTCCAAAAAATAGCTCATGAAAATACCAAGTACCAACTTTAGTTTTTAATTCATTGGCAGGATTGGCTCACAAAGACTAACATTTATTCTTCACCCCTAATTGGCCTTGAGGAGGAGCTGGTGAGCCACTTTTCTCAGAAACAGCAGTTTGTTAGCTTCTATGAGAAGTCAGTTAAGAATTAACCCCATGGATGTGGTTTTGGAGTCACACACAGCCTATTCTGGCAGAATCCCTTCCTTCAACGAGAGAACAGAGCGAGGTTTTGTTTTAAAAAAAATAAAATGAACCAAATTAACTAATCAAACAAACCGCAAACACTGCTGATCTGAGGCAGTGTAACCGTCATAAAATATCAAGAAAGGGTGGAACAAGGGAGGAAACTAAATCAAAATAGTGTTGGAGGGAAAGGCAATGCACTCCAGCCTCTGTGGTGCCCACCTCTCTTTGAAAGCTTCTAGGCTACTGGTGGAAACTTGCATGCTCTCTATCGAAGGACACACAGACGCAGACGTAGCTATGAAAGGGAGGCAAGCAGTGGGGAACTACTACCCCCTCCGTGGCCCAATGCCTGAACCTGTTGATGGCTACTTGAGCCAGACTCAGAAGCAGGCCAATGAGTGGTTCTTTGACTTACCTGTAACCCTCCACACCAAATGCCCAAAGTGGTGGAAGTGTGGAGCTAAAGTGCAATTAAAAGAACAATAAGAGCTTTTTAAGAAAACAGAACAAGAGGTTCAACTGTCCCACAACCAATGCATACATAGTCCACGGATTCCACAGCACCACAGAATAAATAGCTGCCATGGGAGTCTGTGAACTACCTTAACCTATGATATTACAGGGCTGCTATCTGCACCACGCTCCCCAATGGCAAGTGGGAGAATTCCCACATAGAGAACCCACCTGTGGGGGGACCTCAGCCACCCAGCAGTAAAGTGGAATGCCGTGGTGCTTCTGGGTGGTGGATAAAGGAGTAGAAGTGGATCATATGCAGTAACAGAACATTGAGGAAACTCCTCTGCACCAGGTGGAAGGATGTGGAGGGAATTTTCATGAGGTGGTTCAGATTGTGGGATGTGGGCCCCCGAGGGTGGTTCTGTAAAGTGGGGACAATGTGAAATTCTGCCCGAGCAGGGACATGTATAGATGGGATACCACTGTTCACCTGAACGTTTTCTAACCAGTGAATCACATCAAGTCCTAGCATCGCCATTTTTAGGTGATGGATGGCAATGAGCTAGACATCAACTGCCACTCAACTCACCAGCTTCTGCCGTAACAGCTGGCCAATTCCTCTGGCACTCAGCGCATCTCACCTCTGGTCACTCCTGTGACCCAACCTTCCCTTCCACCAGCCACTCAAACCCACATATCTCAAGATTCAATGCAAGTTAACCATGATCCACATGTCAATCAGATTCATATCAAAGATAGGCAGCATTCTGAGGAATACCCAAAGACCCTCACGATCCATAAACAGGAATTGCATGTTTTAGCTCCAGTTGCAAACCCAATGGAAGAAATGCCTCATAGGACACAGCATTTGGGAGGAGGGTCAACGTAAAGGTATTGCTGCAGAGTGTAAAGGCAGAATATCACTATCTGGGTCTGAAGAAAGACCGTGACTGACTGTCTTTCTTAATGGGGACACTCAGAACATCTGCAGTGACCCAGTGCATCATCTTGTCCTGGAGGAAAACAACCAACATTTTTGTGGCAAAGCTTGGGAGAGGGATCAAAGAGATGAACCACTGCTACAATATGGCGGCCGCCAGCTGATTTATGACCTGTGTTTGCCCCGTAAGATAATACTTGAATCAATCCTGTCAAGTGCCCTAGATGAGTGGAAATTCTGCCCCCTAACTCTGGCCAGTTCTCCAGCCAGGATTCCTTGGCCAGGCTAGGGTAGATCCCAGATAGATGAGTTGTGTAGAGCAACAGGAATTCCCCCAGCAAGGAATCCACGTGCTACTGACCAATCAGATGTCCAGAGTATTTGGTCCAGTTGATCTTGGTGGAACAGGAAGCTGAGTACGCTTCTTGGCCTTCACTGATCCTCTGCCAGTCAGCTGGGTCAATGAACATGAGGAGCACATCATCAGCGAGAATGAGTTTTTTGACAATTAAATTAAGTTAAATGGCTAATAGCTTTTTTGTTTCAAGATTCCAGATTCATTTAACTAACTTAATTGAAATGTTTACCTGCTGTACTGGGATTTGAACACATGTTTATAGACAATTAGCCAGTACCTCTAGATATCTATGTCAGGACGATAACCAGCATTTTCAATGAGTGAGGCCAGACTATATAACAGACATCTGACCAAATGTCTGAGAATTAAACTGACCATGAGGCAAAGTCCATCTCTATCCAGCAAACACAGAAGCTTAGCACCTTATGAAGGCCCTAGCCCTCAGATGGCTTGTAAAAACACCAGGGCAATAGGCAGTGAAAAGGCCTATAACAATTGTTAGGAGGAAGCGCGGTGCTAAGAAGGAGTAGGTTGTTTGTGTACGTTCTGGAATTCACTGTAATAAAATAGACTGTGCAGTTTGTTATTGATGGAGGTTGGCATCATACAAACAGAATACACTGTTGTGGTGCTGACACCTTCAGTCAGGCATTGATTAATGACACAGTCATGCAGCGGCAAAGAGAGCTGATGTGTAATAAGAGGAAATGGCAACTGACTGAACAGAATGTCTCCTTATTTCAGAATTAACTGGGAGGAGATAGGACTGTGATATCAAAAATGGACTCTGTGTTCTGATATGTCTGACATTAAATGCAGCTCAAGTCACCTTCCCTTCATTCTGTGATGCTGCTCTCCTTCCATGTGAATGGTACAGCAACTCTCAAGAAATATTGATTAACCAATGGCCAATTCTCCTCATCTCTGTTGCCAAAAATACTGTTCACAATCCCTCATTATAAGTATTCAGTATTGTTATTGGTGGCTGTGTCACCCTGTGGAGCTGAGTGGATCACCCAGAAGAGGAAGGTGCAAAACAACCGTCATCCAAGGGACACAAAGAGGAGGAACCAGCCAGGCATGGCCCTAGTGATGTAGCAGGCCATCTGAGCTCATCTAGCATGCTTCAGCTAATCAATAATTTCTAAAGTTCCTTTATGGGATGATGCTGACAAGATCCCAATTTATTGCCAATCCCCAGTTGCCTTTGGAAAAGCAGTGATAATGAGCAGTATTCCTGAACCAATACTATCCAGAGAGAATGAGGGATGCAACAAATAGAGGACAAATGAATGAAGAGTTGAAATAAACGATATCATTCATTGATGTAAACATCATCATACACCATTAATGTTTGTTGTACACTCAAGTGTATTCCCTAATAGAAACATTTAGTCTTTCTGATCCATTTTATCTTCTTTCCTAATGCCAGCTGTTTATTCCCCTACTCTGACACATGAGATGCCCAATGCAGGGTTTGGAAACCACTGTCCTTCTCTTTCAGCACTGTGCAGGGGCAGATTTCATTATCTGAGATTGAGGCAGCATGTACAATCCTGCGTATATTAGGGAACAGGGACAAGGGGTGATAAGTAAGGGCTCCTTTAGAGGAACCCCCGTTGTCGTGTGGCTTTCCTCCATCTTCTCTCTAATTGACCTTGCATTTCCCTCCTGATCAAGAGCTGAGGGATCCAGCCACCAA